AAGGTTATTCTCATCCAAATTATAATTATAATTCAAATTATGATAACCTATGTGCATTATCTTGCATTTATTACAATTAAAACCTATCTGCCATTTATTTGCCCAACTTGCTAAATGATCTACATCCTTTTGTAAATCGGCAGCATCCTCTTCACAGCTAGCAAGACCTTAATATCATCTGCAAGTTTAAGTAATTTAATGACTATACCTTCATCTATGTTATTGATGTAAATCAAAATGAGCAAAGGTCCTAAGACTGAGCCCTGAGGTACCCCACTTGTGACATTAATCCAGTTTGACTGAACTCCATTTGTAACAACACTCTGCTTTCTTCCATCCAACCACTCTTCTATCCAATTTGCTAACTTATCCCCTATAGAGATAATTTTTTTACAAGCCTTTTATGTGGCACCTTATCAAATGCTTTTTGAAAATCCAGATACACCAAATCTACACCCTTATCCTCATCTACATAAGCAGTAACCTTTTCAAAGAAATTTAAAAGATTTGTAAGGCAAGATTTTCCCTTAGTGAAATCATGTTGATTATCCAATAAAATTCTAAACTTTGTTAAATGGCTTTGTAAAGCATCTTTCATCAGACTTTCCAAAACTTTTCCCACAACTGATGTAAGACTAATGGGTCAATAATTACTGGGACAATTTTTATCACCTCCCTTGAAATGAGGAGTTACATTAGCTAACTTCCAATCCTCTGGTACCTGCCCACTATTCAAGGACTTACAAAAAATAGTTGCAAGTGGCTCATATATCCAATCTTTAACCTCCTTCAAAACCCTTGGGGAAATATTATCTGGCCCAGGAACATTATCATTTTGTAAACTTCCCAATTTTTTCTTAACAAGATCAGAACTAATGCAGTCATCATTTTGATCTTGTTTCCATTTATCAACTAATCAAAATGTGGAATACTGCTTAAATCTTCATTAGTAAAAACCAAAGAAAAAGCAAAATTTTATAACCCAGCCATAATAATCATCAGATACTAGTCTTCCTTTATCATCCCTCAGGGGTCCTAAGATTCTGTTTGCCCTTAATGTATTTAAAGAAATCCTTACTGTTAATTTTTACATTTTCAGCCAACATTTTTAATGTCCTAATTTCCTGTTTCACCAACTTTCTTGATCTTCTATAATCTTCTCAATCTCCTGTCATACCAGTCAATTTAAATTTCTTAAACTTATGATTATATTTCTTGAACTCTTTGTGAGACAACTTGGTTTTTTTTTACTTGCAGCTACCCTTTTCTTTCTATAAGGAATATGTTAACCTTGAATATTGATCAGTGTCTCCAAATAACTCGGCTGCCCAATTCGCAACAGATAGTGTGAAGACACAGAGTCCAAATCCAGACCAAAAAAAAACTGAAACATCAACCAAAGAATGGGTGAATCAGGACATGTAAATAAACATACTTAAAATCCCTATTTGTCATCCAGAAACTTTAATGAAGTAACTTTTCATATGATTTTCGCAGGTTCCACCTAGAGATGAGAATAAAATCCTCGAGGAAACAATATTTCCTTGTTTTACACAAAGTTTGAAACTGACTGATCCAAAATCAAATAGAAACTGGAAAAGTCAAATTTGGACAAATAGAAAATTGAAATGAAGAATGTGATGAGCCCAAAGAAGATGAACCACAGTGTCTGTAGATGAATCAATATCAGAAGTGACCCCCCAAAACTCTGGATGAAAGTAATCTGAAACAGAGAGTCATTGAGTAGTTATAAGGATCCAACTTGTTTAGATCAACACTAGGCCACACTTAAAGTATGAGTAGAAGTAGCAAGCACTGAAAAACATTACACACATGGTACAGAAGTGAATGATGACTTAAAGCAAAACAAGATGCTAAAACCCTAACCAACCCCTGCTGGTAAGCTTCCCCTGAATGAAATATCCACAAAGACAAATAAGAAATCAGGGTATTTACTCACAGGGTACAGAAGTAAATGATGACTTAAAGCAAAACAAAATGCTAAAACCCTAATAAACCCTTGCTGGTAAGCTTCCCCTGAATGAAATATCCACAAAAACAAATAAGAAATCAGGGTATTTTTTGTTTATATATCTAAACATACATACATATAACTGGAAGTCAACTGAATAAAAAGTACTGTGCAATACAAACTGATGGGTGAAAGTGTTAAAGGAGCATAAGAGGCCCTGTATGCAACATGTCTTTTTTGAGACATTATTTTTCTGGATCATTGTTAGTTAATCCTGTTCTGATAACTTTAATCATGACCACATATCTGCTTTGATGTCTTCCTTACATGTGGGTCTCATTGCCATTGATTTTATTATCACGTGGAGAAAACTGACGATGGGTCATAGTAATAATAAAAACATGAGATACGTCCCAGGGATCGAAATATTACATTCCTGCATTCCCAAGGAATTTCATCTTTTGAGTTGGCTTTCTTGATTGGAAATGCATGGTCCATCCATATTCCTTTAGTTATGACCAATGAAAGTGAACATATTGCATGGATTAAATAAAAACAATTCATGAGGAAATGCAACTTTACATCAAGGAATGCAACCTTCATGATAGCTTTCCTCGAGTGAATGTAATTTTATTTCATTATTTCTATCCCTGCATCCCCTTCCATCATTGAACCAAACCAAAGATCAAATACTTGAAAAGAGTACAAGGGGAATAGGAAACATATTAATACAGGGCTAGTTTTAAAAAATACCTACTAATACAATATCAGAAGGTAGGAGAAATAAAAAACTCAAACATGAAAATCTCACACAACACAAGCACCCTCAGGTACAACAGAAATAGATTCAAATTAAAAATGTATAATACATGAGAGATAAAGGAATAAGACCAGAAGATGTTTCTCCATGATTAGAGCTAAGAAGTTAAAATTGCCTGTAAATTTGCCTGAACAAAAAAAATAATAATAATAACAATTAAGCAATCACATAATCATGATACTCGCCAGAAATCAGTATACATCTGCACAGGTGGAACCATCACAGCTTACAGGCTAGCTATAGGCAAATTGCACATGTTAGAACTCCAACATTCTTGGTACAGAGTTGCATTCAAAATTTAATTAAACTATTTTAATATTATTGTATATCAATAAATTTAGCATCAAAACATAGCTAATAAGTCAAATTTTAATATTATTTAAGTTTTAATTCCATAATTTTGAAAATAAAATATTTAAATAAATTTTCAATGTTCATTTGCTCCTATCACATGACATTTGTTCATAATTCAATACTGTAACTTGAGCTATGCCTTCATCTTGTGTGGTACAGCTTTAATGATTAGAAGTCAGGCATGGTTCAAAGAGAAATAAAAAAATTAAATAAAACATATGTAAACTATTATAAGCCATTAAGGATAAATAATTATAGTATTATGTTACAATCTGCAGGCATTCTAGGAAGTAAAAAAGTAATTTAGATTTCTTTTTTTTGTGGTGATTACACACTCGGTCCAATGGACCTAGTCTGTAGTGTTACAGCAGAGAAAATAACAGATAAAATATAAAATTTTACTTAAAAAAATGTTTGATATTCATTTTGGAAAACTGAAACATGAAATTGGAAAACTGAGAGAGGAAAAAGTATTCTTAATCTTAACATGAAAATCACCTTGCACTTGCTGTCAAAAGTGTTTGTAAATACAGAGCTTGAACCTACACCATCACATGGTACTGTTGTGCAACTCACAACCAACACTATGGTAGACAATGGGAGTGATCATTCCTGATGGTCTACTTCTTTATTAGTAGTGTGGTTTCTAAATTGTTATGATTATTTCAAATGAAAACTTTTCAACTAGCATCACGATTAAAAAAATAATTATTATACTTCAAGATGACATGAAAACTTACGAAGAGGTAAGCGTAATCCTTGGCCAAAATTAGTATGTCCACTGTCATTATAAGGTAATCCCAAGGCAGCATATGCACGTTGCATATCAGCAGGTGCTGGACCCAGATTTGGTTGATTTGGTTGAACAGCAGTACCAGCTGAAAGTCATTTAATATTTCTATGATTAATATATATATATTTCTATGATTAATTTATATATAAAAAATATCAACATACCAACATGATCAGAGTTTCAAACTTAAACATGTATTTTACTTTCCTTAAAGGAAAATTAGAGAATAATATCCATATTGTACAATACAGTTTGTCAATTAGAAATAGAGATGAAGAAAATAAAAATTCCAACATCTTACACTTAGATATTACTATAAGTACTTATCTAAGACAGTTAAAATATTGTTTCTGTTATACACTACTACAGGAGTTAAATATTACTGCATTTACTGAAACCTTTACATTATATGATTTGTGGTGATATAGCATAAGTCATAAGATTATGGAAAGGGAAGTTAGCTGTTGTTTGTAGTGTGCTTTGGTACAAGCTGACACTACTTTTAATTCATTACTTGAACATGAACATGTAGAACACAGTCAAAAGCAAACCTTTCTAAAGGAAGGAAACCTAATAAAAATGAGTATATTCAAGAAGAAAAATGCAAAGAATGAATACTGTGGTGTAAAAACTTTAATTTTTAGGTCTTTATGGATATATTCTTCTATTTTTTTAACAAATGAAATCTTATAATGCAAAAAGGATATGTTACTTTTTTGCATATTTGTTTAATACATGTCCAATAGACAAAACAACACAGACATGTTTCATGTGTAAGAAGGCACAATATATCAAGTCAGGCTAAGTTCCACACTTCAGTATAGAAGATGAGTTTCTACGATTATTTGGAAACCATATATTATCTGTTGATTAATCATCAGCATCTGTGTCAAAGTGTGCACATATCTGTGAGAAAAAAATGATGATCCCTTCCCTTCAGTTTATAATGCCAAATATGTAAAGGAACATTTTCATTTACTATTCATAAATAATCACAATAATAATAACAAAACAAAAGCTCAAGAGGGAGCAAAGAGGTAGTAACTTTGGGTTTTGCTGCCATTCTCAGTTGAACAAAGCATTATCTGTGGTGGGAATTTCAATGACAAGTCAGAAAATTTTCATACAAAATGAAATGAAAATATGTGACACTTGGAGTAGCATTCTGTATCAGCAAATGTTTGAATCAGGTAAAAAAGAAAAAGATCTAGCTACATATAGTACATACATTGACAGTCATAACATACCTTTTATTGCAGTCAGTGTTCATCGTGAGTTTGTTTTTTTGTTTTAGAGCAAAGTTACATTAGGGCACCTGCTGTGTCTACTGCAAGGAATCAAACCCTAGATTTTAGCATTGTAAGTCTGTAAACTTACCACTGTCCCACTGGAAGACTCAAGGTGAGTGGACTCAGAAAAGCTACAATTATGGACATAGTGCAAAATCTAGTGTGATGGTGGAGAACCAAGTAACTATTATATCTTAGTGTGAGAAACAAATACTGTTGTGTATGGTTAATAATGTAAAGATCAAAAAGAAGAGATATCTAAGTTACAGAAATTGGAGTAAAACAGCATATGTAATGGAAGAATGGCTCATAAATTGCATTCTTATTATATTTGGTACAGCAAAATGTAAACAGTTTGGGACTAAATAGCCAAAATGCTAAAAACATTATTTATGTTCAACCATCATTCTTCTCACAAACTGTTCAAGTAAGTAAAATGCTAACTTACAAAAGAACATAAATGAGGAAATGTGATTTTTGAAAAATTACATTTTAAAGTGGTGGTTAGCAGGTAAATCCTTTCAATGATCTCTTAGTGGACTGAAAGTGTTGTATTGTGCATCCATGAAATGCTGCTTCTTCAGAAAAAAGTGAGGAACATGAAGGACTTTCAATTTATGATAACATTAATCTGTGTTTTTTTTTAAGATTTTCTAAAAGTTTTAAAACAACTATCATCGATATATATATATTTTAAAGGAAAGCTTCTACTCAGACAAAAGTAGCTGCACCTAAATGAAGTTGAGTCTCACTGGAGACGTTACAGCACAAATAGAAACAATAGAATATAATTTTGTAAACAGTACATCAATAAAATTGATTTAGAGTTCTACATCTGAGTGGAAAAAAGAGTAAAAAAATGTGTGTTTTCATTAAAAAAAAATTCACCAATACACCATGTTTCTTAATATAAAGAATTATTCTCACAATGCAAAAGAAGAAAAATGCATATTCAGTCTTCAATACATTTTCTTGGCTAAATTATATGTTTTAGTGAGATGAAAATTAAACGTACTTCAAACTCCTGTCTTCAGGTTAGAAGGAAGTCATAACCAACAGCCCACTAAATAAATGGCAGGAATATAAGATATACATGTATATATAAAGGCCTAACTTAAACGAACTTGTTGACAAGGCACAAACAATATTAGATTTCCACTTCTGAACAAATTCCTGGCTACAATAGTGTTTATCAACGACTTTATTTTAATAGAAATAAGGTCAAACATTTAATTAAAAGCCAGTTCTGGACTTGCATGTATAGTAATAGTTTGGAGGACTTTATGATGGTATCAATGAATAGACTTGCAATTACTGTCTTTCACTTCTAAAAATGCTACAAATAAATAGCAAGCACTTCAACAGCAAAACCATAAACATTTCAAGAGTAAAGCTAAAGTAATGAAGGAAAGATGTACACTTAAATATTAACAGCAGCATGAAATTAATCTTCCTGTTTTCAGCTTTGTTTTAAATACATTTTCAAACTACCCTTGATATAATAAGATAAACAGCTCCAAGTAAAACAATTTAGGTTAATGTTTTTTTAATCCTAAACTGTTGCACATGGAAATGTATAATATACGAAAGGTAGTACAAAACTTGTAACAAGATATCATTAATATCATTACACGAGTTTCTCCCTACACATTTTTACAAGACTACTTTACTTAAACTAAATAAACAAATTCTTTATTAAAAATAACTGTCCTTATATTTCACATGATAAATCTCGTGAAGATTTTGTCATAGTGCATAATAGACAAAATATAAATCTGTGAAAACAAATTCATGCAAATCTTAGAAAACAAAAACAATAAAATGTTTACTAGTTGGCAAGAAAACATGTGATAATACTAGAGGACCTCTTTGCATAGATTAAAATAATTAATAAATAATAAAGTGAATATCAAAGTATAATAACCATATTAAAATCACAGTAATATGAAAACATTTTTAGTTACAGATATTTGGGGATTTTTTTTTTCTATTTCCATCATCAGTGTGAAGAACTTAAAAAATAATTAACAACTTTATAAGCATAAAAATGTTATAAGCTTTCAGGGCTTGAAATCTGCAGACACCCGGGATCTAAAGTGTCTGCTAGGTAGCACACATGGTCCCTTAAAATCAAAAGCCGTTAAAAGTTTGACTCCACATAAATTGATCTAAGTGTTTCTTAACCAAACAAAACTTATAACAAACCATGAATGGACCTTTCCAAATTTATGAACAGTTGTCAGTCCTATACTATTCACAAACGCCGACATTATGAATGCCTGGGGAACGAATGTTCAGCTCAAAGATATGTGTGCTTGCTGCACTGGTGTACGACGTTTACAGCATGTATAGCTTATTACGCCTAACAAGCAGTATGTACATGTAGGTGTGTGTATGTGTAAGCAATACTTAATGTGTGTTTATATATAGGTATACAGGTCAAGCAATGTGTGTTCAAAATAATGTGTTACAGGTGATTCATATCCTTCGCCAAGGCTGTCGTGGCTAAGGTATCACCCACTTCACTGTACTATCCCAAAGGACCAATGCTAGTGACTGGCAAAGCCATGAACAAAACTGCTCATCAGTCCATTGAGATACCACAATCTGGGGGTCCACAGCTGTGATGAGTCTTGTTTAAAGGCTAGGTAGCTCAGGACTCTGTGGTTTGTGAAATCGACAAGTAAAAATGTTAGCATGCTCTGCACTGAGCATCTGGGAAACATTCTAAATAGTTTTTGTAAATGAAAGAGGAAATATACCTATGAGAAGAAATGTTACTGCCCTATGGAGAATGTGCTAGAATATATTAGAAATGTTTTATGCAAAGTAGGAATTTCAAGCATAAAACCTAGAGTCTAGTCTCACCTGGTATGGCCTTGTGATAATTGGATTAGTATGTTTGCCAGTTGTTGTGTAAAAATTTAGCATTTGCATTATGTAAGCAGTTATTAGAACCATAAATTGCATGATGGAAAAAAATGGATGTAGAATCCAAAGATTAGATCTATTCTTTCCAGTAAGAGTATTGGTTTTTCAGTGAAGAAATATTTTGATGATTTTCAGACATTTTTGGCCTTTTCTGATACAATATATAAATATTTTTGTTTCATGTTAGACATTTTAAGACATGTTTTCAATAAAAAAATTAAAAACTCCGAAACAACAGAATTTCAATAAATTTTGTGCTATAGACTAATTCTAGTTACGTTAAATGGTTGCTCGACAGACAGGGCTAGATATTCAGCTATGATTGGCCAATCATGAGGTGGTATTCTGAAAACTATTAATGGTCTATTAGTAAAGAGTGTATTAATTGCTATGGCAACAGATTTTCAATTTGGTGCAAAACACATGCACTGAACAATTATGGACTATTACAGAATATTACGCCACTATCTTCACCCCTGTACCTACTTTACCTATTTTTCCTTTTCATACTCAATGGTCTCACTGCCTTTTTCTTCAGTTGCATTCTTTTTTGTATCATCATCATTTAGTTCTCTTCATTTAAGAACATTTTTAACTTTGGGCAATTTCTGGAAATCTTTTATGCCATGTTCTCCGATACTTTGACTACATATATTTTAGCAACACTAGTCTGTCTCAGATAAGACTATTATACATAAGTACAAAGTCTTTTTACAACAACAATTATTTTGATGAGGAAAGGACACTACTTTAAAGGGGATTAAAAAGAATAGATTACACTGGCAATGATGCACAGATTTTCTTTCATTGTATATTTTGATTATTAAAGGACACTACTTTAAGGGAAACAAAAAGTTACTGTTAA